TTCATTGTTCGATAATGTCACATCCAGCATTATGATAATTAGAAACAAGAAATGTTCTCAAATTATTGGGGATTAAAAATAATTGCAGCAGTTTCAAGCCAAAAATAGGAATTTGACTAATTAAGGAAAATTGGTCAAATTTTAAATAAGGAAAAGTATTTCCAAGCCTTGGAAAATTAAGAAAAAATGAGGATAATATCCTTTGAGAGTTATATGAAATTATAAAGTTGGTTTTATGACCAAATTACCCTTAGAGAAATTATAAGAGAATTTAAGGGTGATTTAGGCTAATTAAGGGACTTTATTTGGAAAATTCCAAATAAATATTTTTAAGGGGAATAAAATTCAAAGAAAATTCCTTTGAGATCCCAAGGAATTATAAGGAATTATGGAATCAAATGAAGACCCTCAAGTGTCCAAGATTTTTCCAAATAAATGTGAAAAGTGGAAAAATCCCTAAAGGGAAGGAAATTAATTTTCCTTTATGTTTAATTATTAGGAACTTAATTTTGAGACAAAGAGGGCAATTTGGGAAGATAATAATGAGGAGAATAAATTAAGGATTTGACAGAAAATAATTACAGAGGCTAAGCTACTGTAATTATAAAAAAGAAGTTAAACTCAGAGCCTAAAGTATACTGATAAAGCAAGATTGGTGTCTTGCAAATCCAAGGGATCCTATTGAGCCATGTGTCAAGCTCTTGAAGGAGAAGATTTGAATTAGCCAAGTGTCATTCCATAAATGGAGAGGATCTTGACTTTAGTAATTAATTTCATTTGGAATTATGTTAATTATGAAAGAGGAATCAAGATTTAGTAGGGTAATGACACTTGGACTATCATTAAAGAAGGTGGTTGGGATATTCTGAAGCATTAATCAAGCTCTTCTCTCCCCTATAATCAGATGTAGTTTCAGCCAAGGGAGAAAATAAGAGAGAAAGAGAGAGTTTGAGAGAAAAACAAGAAGAAGCAAGCACCTTTGATCATCCAAACAAGGTTTCAAGGTTAGATCTTGGTCCTAGAAGTGTTCTTGCTTTGGTTTCTTTCTCTTTTATGGTTAAAAATCTGTCTCCTCCCTCTCTTGATGTTGACCGAACTGATTAATAAAAAGGGGAAAGAAGTTTTGATAATGATTATGGCTGCCTTTTTTGATGGATTACATGGTTAGGGTTTGATATTTGTCAAGGAAAAGAGGAGAAGGAAGAAAAGCTAAGACTTTTGAAGCAAGGTAGTAAGTCAAACCTAGCTACTACCACTAACTAGCATTATTGGTTATTGTATGGTTAATTGCTATTATTGTGGTTGAGCTTTCTTGATTGTTTATCTTGTTTTGGCCTTTGCATGTTTGAGTTTACCAAATGATAAGCATGTTAGTTCACCAATAGTAGCTAATATGATCATGCATAATAATGATGCTTGCTTGGTGCTATAGTTGGTTAATTTGCTACTGGGATTTTCAAAAATCTCATCCCTCAAAAATAATATAACATTTTAGGGCCTGAATCCTCCAAGGGAAAGCTTCATATTGAAGGCTAATTTGTGGGGTTTAGCCATAAAAATTTGTGAGCTCATTTTGGTTATGTACATATTAAACTAACAGTGCTAGAAGCACACTGACACTGACTGGTTCACGTGACTTTTTGATTGTGCTTTCGAACGTGTTTAATCATGAAATTTGGTATGATAAAAGATAACGTCCTGATCTTCAATTGGATAGCTAATAAGTTAAAAATGGCCCAGTATACGATTTCTAATGATTTTCGAAGTTAATGGTCAAATATGGGAATCTGGGTTTTTGGCAAATGGACAGTGTTGCTTTTCTCAAAAACCTGATGCTTTATCATAAGGAATTGGACAATGAGATTATTTTTCCTTGAAAGAGGACTTAAAGAGCTTTAAGTATAATTTTGAATCACCCCAATTGGATTTTTGTAGAATAAGTTATGAATTTTTGAATTTGGGCCAGAAAAACTGATTTTTTACCTGATGAACAGTAAAAATCCGAAATTTAGCATTTTTATGGTAAAAAGAGAGCCCAAGACCATCCAATGTGATCTAAAATGATTTGGAAAGAAACCTAAGTCAACATAATAGTAAGGTGTGACATTTTTGGTATCAGAGCGGAGGTTCCGGCATAAGATAGAATGCTCTGCTTAAGTATCCCCTAGATGTTGAGTTAGTTAAATAAGAACTAACACCTATTTTTAGGAATCAAGATGGGGATTACCATGGATTGGGATACTAAACCTGAGCCGTCGGTCAACACTTGGGATCAAATAGTAATTGATCTCACCAAGGACGAGGACCCAGAGGAATGGGTAATAGGCGATGCCAGCCCTGGCCATTCATCAGTGTGCTCCAATGACTGTGTTGAGCACTACCTAGAGCTGCTAGGGATCACGGCAGAACAGTTGCTATGCCTCCCCGGACCCGGAGACCTGGTCAACCCTGTAACTGGCCTGTACCAAGAGCCATTAGATTTAGATCTTTATGTTCAGTCCCTTAAGCAGCCTGTTACTCCTGCTATGTATCCATGTAATATCCCTAGACCTAGTATTGTACCAGTTGTACCCCTAGCCCTGGCAATACTTGTAGCACCTGCAGTACCATTTGTACCTGCCCCAGTTCAGCCTAGTCATGAGATCCGTAGTGTGGGTTAGCTGAGTGACCGGCTGAGGTTCATAGGGCGTCACATCAGGAGGGATGTGGAGGCAAACCTGAGAGTACACCTAGACTACCTCCAGGGTGTGAGGGAGCTGTATCAGGCACACAGACCAGGCAACCCTTACTTAGAACCATTTGACTGGTTATGTGAGATGGTAGATGTCCTACCTAACACTCCCTTCTAGACCCATGAGATCGTCCGCCTAAACTACTTGCTGGGAGATGATGTAGAGGACTGGATCCGAAGCATCGAGGGCTTTGTTATTGTTGAAGGGAATTGAAAGACGACACGCAGCGGAAAAACAACTCGAAATTTTAAGACTTTCAACCCCTTGCTAGGATCTACCGATCGCGTTTAAGTTAAGTAGTAAGAAGCATTACCTTCGGTGTTCGATTTCCTGGTGACTCGATGATTCGGCCGTTCAGGATGCTTCTGCTCGCCTCCTTCGTCGTTCGAAGTCGACAACTCCGGTCGGCTTCCTCTACCGGTATCCACACTAGTAGCCCTCAACCTCGAACGGCGTGCTAGCGCCTATGCCCGTCTAGGGTTTTCGAAATCCGTCCTCTCTCCTCTCTTAGGCCGTCTCTTATCTGTCAGTTCTCTCACTCTTAAACCCTAGCTCCTCATATCAAATATATAGGATGCTATATAGGTTTAATTAATAATATTTAATTTCGAAATTAACTCTAAATTAATTCCGAAATTAATACAATATCAAATATTGCCTAATCAGATAAGAGAACAATTAAATAAATATGGTTTAAATTAAATCCGTCTCACAGATTTAATTCACTTATTTATTTAATAAAGAGATGACGGAATTTATATATTTAATTTATCCTTATAAATTAATATCTCTTATATTTATATATATATACGAATTTATATATATATATATACACGTCCACCCTATTTATTCATTGAATCTGGACATATCTTAGATTCAATGAATCTGGACATCATAACTCGTGTTGGGCTATTTTGTGTGCGACCCTGTAGGCCCATATGAAGTTGGCAGTGGGCCATTAACTATAATGACTCACAAGTCGTAAGCGGTCTCTAGCAAGACATCACGACTACCCAAAACATATGAGGATCATTGAACGTTGCAACCTTTCATACAACCATATCACGTCCCTTTTGTCACACGACATTTTGGTCATGGATGAGGCATGGAGAACGTCATCCTCCTATTCATGACTGTTACTTTCTCGATCCCTGAGTAGTATAGAAACGGAACTACCTTTCCATTATAGTATGGCCATACATTTCTCAGACTCACTCATCGAGGGGCCCAGTAATGTCTCTCTACGAATGTGAGGGACAAATTCCATCTTGACCATTCACATTCCTCCGCATGAAAAACCACTAAGCCTGAACATAGTCTTTATGATCACTCAGTCAAAAGTGACTTTTGACTAGGTCAAAGCTAAGCGTTTCTCATGTAGGAACCCATGATGATCTCAGGTCAAAGGGCACAGTGACATGGTTTGTATATGAGAGAAGCTTATGACTTAACCCATGCAGCTCTCTCATAGCGGGTCGGTCCAACACCTTGTACTCTTACATGTGCCTATGACTTTAATTTATATCTCTATATATCTTTAAAGTCATACTGGTCTTATTTCATCTTTGCTCCCACATAGATGACCAACCAGGGACATTTAGGATAAACCATGAGTTATCCAAGGATAGTCATCACAGTAAACATGCAAATAATAAGATAACTTTAATTAATAAATTCATAAATTAACAATGTTCAAAACAGAATGATTGGCCCCTAGGGCACAATTTCCAACAATTGTTCACTTTCTGTAGACGCTAGGACTGTCCTATCACTAACGTAGGATATATTTTGGTACAACTAACCCAAGTAGGTTAAGCTGATAATGCTTGGTCGATGGATGTGTTGATTGCACTTTAACTGGTTAATGCTTAGCTACTATTTGTTGTATGCCCATTTTGTGAATGAAATCCAAGCATGATATTTATTTCTTGTTCCTTGTTGTGCTATCCGGTTGGTTAAGCAATGGTTAGAACTCGACAAAACCTTTCACCGGAGAGATCCCCAGTGCAAGATGCAAGGGTCCCTCCTGATCCATTACAATTGATTCTGGAACGCCTCGAGCAACAGCAGAAGACCATCGAGGACATGAGAGCAGCTCAAACTCGCTAAGAACAAGAAAGGGATGCAGCGATAGCTACAGCAGTGGCAGCGATATTAGCGAACCTCGACCGAAGGCAACCAAAGGAAGAGGTCTCTGCAGCACCAGCATTAGAATAGTTGCCAAGGCCGGCAATGCCAGCAGCAGACCCCGACAGCATTTAACAGTGGATGACCCGATTCTGTAAACACAACCCGCCGTCATTTGATGGGAGATTTGATGTTCAAGCGGCAGAAGAGTGGATTAATCGCCTAGAGAAGATCTTCAAGATCCTGGACTGCTCATCAGAGCGAAAAGCTCAGATGGCGATATATAAGCTAGAGAAAGATGCTGATCGTTGGTGGAAGAACACTGAAATTCTTCTCGATGCTCGAAACACGACCGTGACTTGGGAAGTGTTTCTGGAACAGTTTTACGAGAAGTACTTTCCGAGATCAGTCCAAGAGGAGAGAGAAGCAGAATTTCTAACTCTGAAGCAAAGGGATGATGAGCCTTTTGATGAATACTTGTCTAAGTTCATCCGTCTCTCTCATTATTCAAGCTATCTTCGATATAGAGACAATAAGAGGTGGACGACAGAGAAGATGGTTGGAGGACTGAGGCCAACATTGAGGGAGATGATTGCTCCCAGACAATTTGAGCAGCTCAATAAAGTAGTGGAAGCTTGCCGAATCACGGAAAGCAGCTTCAACCATCATCTGATGGTCAAGACAACTCCCAGAGCAGAGAAGGGAGGTCAAGGAGGTCAAGGTGTTACCTCGTCCAACGTGAATAAGAAGAGAAAACAACCCTGGAATAACCGCAAGAACAAGAAGGGCAGTAAAGCACCGAAGGGCAAGGAGTGTCCTAAGTGTGGCAAGAATCACGATGACAGACCGTGCATGGCTGGGTAGAATGTTTGCTACACCTATGGCAAACCTGGACGTTTCTCAAGAGAGTGCCCCCAGAACATTGAGCAAGCAAGACCATGGGTAACACCTTACATTTGTGACCTTATATTATGACAAGTTAAGATATTCGGAAGCGCAATCTCAGGTTATCAGGTTGAAAACTTTGAGTTTAAATTTAGCATAACTTTGGAAAATCATAACTAATTCTAGAAAAATCAAAACAAGGTCGTTCCAAGTCTCACTCGAAGCTCTTAACATCATCTATCAATAAAAAATGACCTCAGGTTCCTCTTTAATCAGAAACGCATCCGATTTTAATTTCAAAAAGTACTGTTCATTTGGTCATTTTTCTATTTTTCAGGATTTTTGCCTAACTTCGGAAAGGCATAACTTCTTACACAGAGCTCTGATTGTGACACTTTACCACTCATTTTAAAGGAAAAAAAAAGATCTATTTGCATACCAAATTTCAGGGAAAAAGTCAACCATTTGACCAAGGTCTTAATTGGTCAAAGTTTGGTCAAATTTAGACCATTTTTATCCCCCTTTTTCACTAATTCTAGCGCCATTTCGTTTTTCACTATAAGCATACCATAATCGCATATACAGGTACTCTACCATTAATATACATCCAAAAAGGGTATCATGTTATGCGTTCATGATCAGAATATGCTTACATGGCTTGGAAAAGAAAGGTTTTAAACCATATAATACAATGCATAGATCATAATTTCCTCAAGCCATGATTACTTCTTTTCCCTTCTCCTTGGAAGTAGTGGCACCTAGGATATCATGTTATAGGAGGAATGAGATTTCATAGAAATCCCAGTAGCATTGAACATACAACCATCAGGTCAACATGCATAAGATGTCATGCTACATGCAGTAAAATAACATTGCTAGTCTTTATGCCATGCCATAACCATTCTGTATCCATGTCATCATATCATAGAGCATATAATCATTCTAGTCAAAACTCAATCATGCAAGAGCCAAGGCATACATTGCAAGGAGTTCACATCATATGTACATAAACATTCTCATGGCACATAAACACACATAGCAGAAACACCAAATGCAGGTCAACAAAATAATTGCAAGTTCACGCTACCTCGGTTCCACGCTTACTGTTTCCTCCTTGTTTTCCTTGCTTGAGGTCCTCCTAGGTTTCAATTTATAACTTCTGTATACATTTCCTAATCCTTTGACTTTGGTTTGACCAAGCCTTAATCCTCAATTAAGGTCTTGGAATTCTTCCTTACTCCATGATTAATCATGCTTTCTTGGTTAATCACTAACCCTTAATCCTTAATCCAATATTTAATTAAGGTCCTCAAGTCACATAGTCATTAATACAACATAATCCTCTAAGATTAAGTCACTAATCCCTTATGGATTAACCATTAATCATTCTCTAATCAACATGATTAACCTTTAATCATTCCTTAATCAACATGATTAATCATAATTAATCATCCTTCAATTAGCATAACTAATCACTAATTACTAATTAATCAAGGTAGCTAGCCTTAATTACTTACTAATCTTTATTCAAATAACATGATTAATCTTAGCTATCACTAAACCATAATTAATCAAGGTAATTAATCCTAATCTTCCTCAAATAAATAATTAACTAAAAATAATTAACACTTAGGGAAGTAAACATACCTTAATTAACTCTTAATCAGCGATTAGAGGCGTTTAATCTTTCTTTCTCCCTTTCTCTCTCTTCTTTCTTTCCTTCTCTCTCCTAGAACTTAAGAGCAAAACATTCCCTCTCTAGGAAACCTCTTTGGCCAAAATGTGAAGGGTGAGGGGGGTATTTATAGGCTTGAATTTTTCAAAATACCAAGAATGCCCTTGGAGAAAAAGATGCAATCTCGGCCGTCCATTTTTTTCCACTTTACACATGGACAAATCTTAAAGCACAAGCCTTAAAATCATAACACATGGAAGGACACCTATTCACCATGTGATTTTCATGTGGTAATAAAATATTATTTTAATGTTTTGTCTCTTATTTCCCTTTATGCCCTTGAACAATTTGAAAAATTTCAACTTTGTCCTCCCCCCTTAATTTGGCCGAAATATTACTCTAAAAATTGGGAGAAAAATGACTCATCCAATATTCAGTACAATCCACTGATTATTTATGTATTTTCGGTCCGATTTTCCAACAATCCTGTCCAATTTACTGTCACAAAATTTTGATTTCAACACCTCCTTAAATTCCCCTCATTCCAAGGATATTCCATGATTTTTCTCAAGTTTTACCTCCCTCTATAATTTTCTAAATTTTATTCCGTCAAAAATCAATATTCTACCGATAATAATTTGGTAATAAATATTCTTTAAGCTAACCTCTGTACATCCAAAGGTGGGTAGTAATTTTATAAATTAGGATAATATGTCACATAATTTATCCCTATTTTTTCTTGAATTTTTGAGGCCTCCATATATTTTAAATAATGGAAATTGGCTAATTTTCTTTAATTAACCAAAAATTCCAATAACTACAAATAATTCCCTGATAAATTAGTTTTTTATCCTATATTCATCTTCTAAGCCTTAAACATTATTCTGTACCCTCCTTTCTATTTTTCATGATTTTCTGGGAATTTTCAGGAATTTCGGACATTATTTCCAATACTGCCCTTTCTTGACCGATCTTTTCAAAAATGACTGTTATGTCCCTATCTTGATTTTTCCTCATAGCCTGGATCCTCTCCAGTCTACTATACTATTTGACCTTAGTCAGTCTCAAATCATTCATCAATTAGGATAAAATTATCAGGGTGTGACACCACACACCCAGGGTTGAGTGTTTGCCATCACAAGAGAAGAAGCCTGGAAGTCTCCGGAGATGATCCAAGGTACGATCATGATTAACAATTCTCCAGTGATTGCAATGTTTGATTCGGGTGCTAGTCATTCTTTTATTTCATACGCCTGTGCGGAAAGACTTGGCTTGAGTATAAATACATTGCCATATGATATACATGTGTCTACCCTAACACAGAGTAGGGTAGTTACATCTGATGTGTGCCTGAACTGTATAGTTTGTTATGAGCACTGTTGCACTGCTATAGATTTGATATGCATGCCTTTCCATGAGATGGATGTGGTGATTGGACTCAATTGGTTGTCATCCCACAATATCCTAATGGATTGTAAGAACAAAACCCTAATCTTACCCACGAGGGATTTAGAGTTGAATCCGGAAGTTAGATTAAACTTTATTACGAAAGCCCAAGCGAGCAAATGCTTACGAAAAGGCTGTCAAGGATTCCTTGTTTTCTTCTCGGTGCAAGTCAAAGTTGAGGAAGGGATAGGAGAAATCCCAGTGGTTAGGGAATTTCCGGAAGTGTTTTCGATAAAGATCGCAGGATTACCCCTAAACAGAGAAGTAGAATTCATAATTGACATAGTACCTGGAGCAGGACCAATTTCTAAGGCCTCTTATAGAATGGCTCCTAATGAAATGACAGAACTTAAGAAGCAGATAGAGGAGTTACTTGAAAAAGGTTTTATTAGACCAAGTGTGTCGCCATGGGGTGCTCCAGTGTTGTTTGTCAAGAAAAAGGGTGGAAGTCTAAGGCTGTGCATACACTATAGGGAGTTGAACAAAGTCACAGATAAGAACAAGTTTCCGCTCTCTAGGATAGATGATCTGTTAGACCAGTTGGTTAAAGCTAGTGTACTTTCTAAGATTGATCTAAGATCTGGCTACCACCAACTCAAGATTAAGTCTGAAGATGTCCCTAAAACTGCGTTTAGAACCCGATATGGGCACTATGAATTCTTAGTGATGCCGTTTAGATTGACGAACGCACCTGCGATATTCATGGACTACATGAATAGGATTTTTCGTCCTTACTTGCATCAATTTGTGGTCGTATTCATTGATGACATCCTAGTGTATTCCAAGTCTCCAGAAGAGCATGAGGAGCATTTGAGGATTGTCCTAAATACCCTGAAAGAGAAATAGCTGGTGGCTAAACTTAGTAAGTGTGAGTTTTGGCTCTAGGAAGTCTGATTTCTCGGCCATGTGATTTCTCGAGAGGGAGTGGCTGTCGACCCCAGTAAGATTGAGGTAGTACTCAACTGGGAGAGACCCAAGACAGTGACCGAGATCAGAAGTTTCTCGGACTAGCAGGGTATTACAGAAGATTCATCCAGGACTTTTCTCAAATTGCTCTCCCGCTGACCAAGTTAACCAGGAAGAACCAGCCATTCTTGTGGGATAAGAAGAGTGAGGCTAGTTTTCAGGAGCTGAAGAGGAAGCTCACTTCTACTCCCGTACTTATACTTCCCGATCCTTCACAACCGTATGTGGTTTATACAGATGCTAGCAAGCAAGGACTGGGATGTGTACTTATGCAGCAAGGACGGGTAGTAGCCTACGCCTCACGCCAGTTGAAATCTCACAAGGAGAATTACTCGACCCACGACCTGGAATTGGCAACGATAGTTTATGCACTGAAGATATGGAGACACTATCTGTATGGAGCAACCGTAGAATTGTTTTGTGACCACAAAAGTCTCAAGTACCTCTATGACCAGAAAGAGTTGAATATGAGACAACGAAGGTGGAAAGACTTACTCAAAGATTATGATTTTCAAATTAAGTACCATCCAGGCAAAGCAAATGTAGTCGCGGATGCCTTAAGCAGAAAGACAGTACAGGTAGTATCGCTGATGATCAGAGAGCAGAAGCTGGTAGAGGATTTCAGAGATTGGGGTCCTCTATATCAGATGCAGTTAGTAGAAGGAAATAGAGGTAAAACCCAGTTTACAGCCCTGCTCAAAGATCAAATCAAAGAAGCACAGTCACAGGACTGGCTAGCAAAAATTCTCAAAGAGAAGCTGTCTAGAGGCGAGAGTAAGAATTTTGAAATTTCTGAGGAGGGGATACTAAAGTTTAAAGGAAGAACATATGTTCCCCAAGTGTCCGACCTCAGAAAAGAGATACTAGCAGAAGCCCATAAGAGTAAATATAC